TATAACATATCCCTTCTTCTGGCCTCCCTTTATCCCTGCTGTCCATACCTGTGGAGTCTGAATCTACATACCTCCTTAATACTCTTTGAATGTTAACTATTGTTTTCCAATGCTATTCAAGTTCTTCCTCACATCCGAACCAATTAAGTATAGCCTGGTGAGCTTAATACAAATTGATGCTTTTTCCTAAAAAGGAGATGCATGACATGAAAGTGAAAACTTGAATTGAAATACAGTCAGACCCCAGTGTCCACACGAGACTGCTTCCCGGACCCCCGTGGATGCCCAAACCCTTGGATACCAAAGTCATTATGAGATTGTGTATTATTTACATATGGCCTACATCCTTCAATATCCAGATCACTTGTAATACCTAATGCAATGGAATGCTATGTAAGTAGCTGTATTGTTTATGGAAAAATGACAAGAAAAATGTCTGTGGATTCAGTTCTGGCACAATTTTTTTTGCATATTTTCTATCCACGTTTGGTTGAATCCATCCACATAAACTCACGCGTGTGGAGGGGGATTGTGTGCAAGCTTTGGAAGTTCCTGTGCTTGAGTTCCTGTCAGCACAATGCAGTGCCCTTCTGTTGTACATGAAACAGCTTTACTTGTTTTGGAGGCCATTGTTTAGTCCCATTGTACATCAGTGTTCAGGGGATCCACTGTTACAATAGAAACACAGCATCCAGCCACAGGACCAAAGGCAATGCGAGGGCCACACATTATCCACCTGAAAAACTGAGTTAGGATGAGTGAAATTTGAGAAATATTTCAAATGAGTAACTTAAAACTTAGGTACCAGTCATTGGACTAGTGTCTCTTTTCCTGGTTTCTAGCATTGTACGGGAGAGAGAAAAGGATAGGACAGAATATTTGCCCATTTTAATTTTGTTTGTTTGTTTGTTTTGAGACAGGGTCTCACTCTGTAGTTCAGGGTGGCCTTGAACTCACTGTGTAACCCACGTTGGCCTCGAACTCATGGCAATCTTCTTGCCTCAGCCTCCCAAGTGCTGGGATTACAAGCATGCACCACCACACCTGGACATTATTTGCCCTTTTATAAGGATAGAGAGATGTCAAAAATTCATTTTATTTTTAAAAAGTTATTTTTATCAGTACGTGTTTGTGGTACATGATTACATTCTTCGTGAGGAGTTGGGCACGTGTGTATAGTGCACCCTAATTCTTTTTACGTCGCCTTCTATCTCTTGGTCCCTTTGCCATTTGCAAAATGTCTGTCTCTTTGTTTCAGAATATTTCAAGCAAGAAAACTGATTAAAACACGTGGTCTGAAAATGGGAAGGGAAGAGTTCCCACAATGCAAACACAAACCCGAAGCACATCTTCCGTTTAAGCAATAACTGAGCTTTGCAGCAGTCTTTGCCCTGGTCAGTTTCACAGACAGGCCCCGTTGTTACTGTCAAGGGAAACGAATCCTCATGTCAGGTGAACTGACCGGCATGCAGTGCTACGTAACTTCAGCCTCTTCACGGGGATTTGTGACGGTCACCGCGCAGTCTGGAGGGTGAGAAATGACACACCACACATTCACTTCAAAGTAATACTGTATTCTCAGATTAAATTTTGCTACACATAGGATTACTCACTAAACATTTATTAGTCAATAGGTACAAGGCTGGAGAAATTCCAAGCTCTCTGTCCCTTTAACTGTCCCAGTCACCGCCTGATGTAAGAGGTTTGCTTTTAGCAAATACGAAGATTCCTGACCTAGGAACCATGACCCTTACTGTTAACGTGCAATTCCATTGTCTCAGAGTTCACAGCAGGACTCAGAACCACTTCCAAATTTAGCATAAGGAGTCCTCTTTCACCCTCGTGCAGTGGTGCACACACTTGTAATCCCAGTGGCTCAGGAGGCAGAAGCAGGAGGATCATAAATTCTAGGCCAGCCTGGACAACTTAGTGACACTCTGTCTCAGAATTAAAAAGAAATAAGGCTGGAAGACACAGCTGTCTAGGGAGGCTCTGTGTTCAATCCTCAGTACTTCAAAAAGAAAGAAAAAAGGGGAGATCATCTCTATGAATAAATAGACCTCCTGGGATTTTTATACCTGGTTCATGAAATCTTGAGGAGTGCCTCTGAAACATTTTAGCCAGTGAGAGTATCTGTAATTCCTCTCCAGACAGACCATATACTATATTCCTCAATCAGATATACAGCCCTTGTTTTAAACAACAGATACACATTTCTTATTCAATATACTAATTAGCAAGTCAATAGTTAATAGTTGAAATATGAGTAGCAGTGGAGCCTGTAGTAGTACTCCCCAGAGTATTCAAAGCTCTCCAGTGCACGCCTTCCTGAGTGGAGGCTGGAAACTCCTGTGTTGCAGCTCTAAGAACACACAAATTTATTCACATTAAAGTGAAGTGCAGACATTATGATAAAAGATGTGGCCATTTACAGTAGGATGACCTTTCCAGCCATCCTTTTGGAGTTTAGAAATGAATGACAAAAAGGTTGGGTAACTTTATCTTTTAAAATCTCTATCCTGTATTTTTTTAAATTTTATTTTATTTATTTTGGGGGGAGGGGTACTGGGGATCGAACTCAGGACCTTGTGCTTGCGAGGCAGGCGACAGAACCACTGAACTAAATCCCCAGCCACCTATCCTGCATTTTAATTAAAAGTTGATGTTCTTTTTTCCTAGATATCCTTGATGACATTAAAGATAACCTTTCTCCATTTTGCAAGTTTATAATTACAATATCCTCCACTCTAACTCTTTTGCTGGGTTTTTCTTAGACTCTATAGTTGTATCTTGTATTTTATGAAGTCATTTCATAGTTTAGTAAAAACTAGGAGATCATTGGGCTTGAATGTGTAAGGAAAATAATTTCCTTTTTTAAAAAATGTACCCTTTTCTACTCCCAGTCCATTTTTAGATGTTAAAAGCCAATGTGCAAGAACTCTAGTGCGGGCGATGGTGCCTTTTCAGGGTCGCCCTCCCTGTACCCCAGGGCGTACTTTTGTTTTATATTTTTATTTTTGTTTTTATTTTCCCTCTCTTTTACTCGGCCCAAGTTCACTCTGCAGATCCAGTTTCTACATTACCCTTCACTTTTAATAATTCCTACCTCAAATAAATGTGAAACATAGCCACTGTTACAAAGAAAGAAAAGTAAAGAAAGGAAAAGAAAAGAAAAAAAATCTACTGGGACTATTATGTCCTAAAATTTAAACAGCTTTGGAAAATAAAACATCCTTTTTAAGGACATTCAATTAATTTTTTTTTTTGGTAACAGGGATCGAACTCTGGACTTGGCGCTTTCAAGGCAGGCGGCAGCACCACTGAGCTAAATCCCCGGCCCCATTCAATTAATATTTGATTAAGGAATAATTTAACCATAGGAAGTTTTGTTTTGTTTTGTTTTTTTAGAACTGGAGATTCATTCAAACCCAAGACCTTCCACATGCTAGGGAAGCACTCTACCAATGAACTACGTCCCTAGTCCTAGGGAAAAGTATTTTTTAATTGCCAAAGTAATAAAATATAAGAACAAATGCTGTTCAGGTTAAATCCCTTAACCTCTTTGAAACTTTGGTTTCATCATAAATAAAATGAAGATGGAATAGTAAATGCTTCACAAAATTATTTTAAGGATTAATAATATAATACACGTAAGACCTATAGCACAGTGCCCAGCACATACTTCTTCAAAAATACTGGTTATTATTAAGACAAAAAGAGAACCAAGAGAATAGTCTTGACAGGGCAGGAACAGTGTCTTAAATGATCTTGGGGAGATCACGTAGTGCATGGGCCACATGGAAGGTTCCACATGCAGGCTTCTCTGTGAGAATGAGACTTTTGAATGCCTGAAAATCCACTTTGCCCAGTTATACTCTAAAAGGAATGGCATTTGTGTGTGTGGGCAGGGGTTATTAGGGTTTGGGAGGAACATTCAGAATCTGTGCAGTTCTGCCCTTGCTAGGTCTCCAATTAAAATCCTAGCAGAATTCGTAGCGTAGCTGACGCCAGCAGCCCTGGCATCCCGGGGAGCTGATGCTCTGCAGCACACTTGCTCTCAGAGGGCCAAGGCGCCTTGCTCCGTGTGTTCGCCTCCAGCAACTTCAGCAGGATGAAGCATGTGACTGGAGATATAGGAGAGGTGGTGTCACAACACCTTCGACTGCAATTGCTGCTTCCACGGAGAGTTTAACTTTGGAGAAGAGTGTGGGGTTCTAGACTCCTCGTCTTCACAGAGCCAGCCCTTCTTTGTCCTAGAGGAATGGACTTACACCGGACTGTGGGCTCGCCACTTCCTCCCATTCAATCATCTGTGCATTGCAAAGGCCTGCTCTTAAACTGGGAGGGAAGCTTGCCTGCATCACTTCTCAGTGCTGCCATGCTGGAAAACAACTTACGAAGCCAACATGACACCCTAAAGTTCAAATTACTGTATATCGATAGTGCTGTATTTTCCAATGGCAAAAATTCCTTTTCCATAAGTATGTATAATAGCAGAACATGCTGTGTGGCGGGTGAATGAGTGAAAATTCGGAGCTCCTTTATGCTTTTTGGAACTAAGCTGTTGAAAGAGAATAAAGGAGCATAAATCAAGATGTTTCTATGGTTGCTTCTGCTTCACATGTACCAAACATGTCAAGGCATAGTTTAATAGCTTAGCCACATTAGAGGCATATCTTATTATTTTCTTGTTCTTCCTCCCCATATTTGTTTTAAAATTCTGTGAAATTATCTCTGAGTTTCTAGTAGAAGTTTCCAAACTTGCTTACAGTGGTTGCTTAATATCAAGCAACCTGACTCGTCCCCTTAATACTTCTTGTGGCTGGTAAAGTGTCCCACACCCTCTAACTGACATACGGCAAACCTGCAGAAAGATAGAGTGGTTTTCCTATACTTTGATGATGTCACCTTTTCTCTGTGCTAAAGCAGCAAGGTGATGTATTCTCACAGAGTGTACACATAATTTTGTGGGGTCACGTTCTTACTTTATCTTCTTTTAGCCACTTTGAGCAAAGAAGACTCCATTATCTTGAGTCCTGATGTCATGGATATTGCTCCGAGTAGAAAGAGGAGGCAGTGGATGCCCAAGGATCTTGGGACAGAACCAAAAATGGCTCTGCAGGGGAATCAGCTTCAGGAAATGAAAAAGTAAGTCACTTAGTTCTTTGCTCTTCCCAGACAGTAAGTGAGTTGCGATTTTAAAAATCTGCTATATAATGTTGAAAAATATATTGTTATTTCTGAATTTAGTTATTTTTTTAAGAACAAAAATTATAATCTTGGAAATTGTAAAATGTTTGAATCAATATATTTTCTCTTGCAGTTGGGTAATTCCTATTAATATCTAATGCAAAAATGCCAAAACATATGCAGAATTTTTCTTATAGTTTTTACAGATTAATTAGAAATGGTATGTATGGTATTGAAAATATTATAATGCATCTTGTGTTCAGTAAAGTGTTTCAATCCAATTTACTGCTTAAAAGAGATCCATGTAGCATTCAAATTAGCCACTTGATTTGATTATATGTATTTTTAAAGTAAAAAGTCTCTTTCTCGTCATCCATTTATTTCTACTAAATTTTAGCATTATATATTTTGTTTTTCTGTTTGCCACTCCTTGTTCACACTACTTTCTATCAATCAGCTTTCTAATTTAGTTGTAAAGAGTTGAAAATTGCAATAATTAACATATCATTGTAGCAAAACCAATGAACATTTATAAATGTTATCAGTTAAATCCAAAATGAATGTGCATATCATTTATAAACTTTTCATTGATTTAGCGAGTAATTATTGAATACCAGTCCCATGGCTGATGACACTGTTATAGTCCAGGGGCTTTCAGAGCCTGGAATGAGGGCTGCCCGGGGTTCCCAAGACCCGGCGTGGGCTCCCTTCTTCCATTCTGTACCTGTGTGAGGCTGGATTTTCTAAATATCGTTCAATTAAAATAACATGCCTTAGCTGATTGAATGCAGAAGTTAATGAAAATCCAACTGTTTTCAATCAAGCCTGCCATCAAATGGATTTACAAAAGTTTCAAACAATGTTCTCACAAAATTTTTTGTTTGGAAAAATATAATATTTCATGAGAATATGTTATTGATGTTATCAAATAACACATGATTTGTGTTATTTTAAAGAAATATTTTTAGTTTTAATTTTGAACATGAAAAGTATACTCCAGATAAACAAAAATGTAGACTCAAAACTCTTGAGTCCCTTAAGAATTTGTAAAGCTGTAAAAGATTCTGAGAGAAAAATGCCCTAGAATATGAGGGACCAAAGGCTGAGGTCCAGCTTCACGCCCCAGGGAGCTGCAAGCTGCACGCGAGCTTTTGCAGTTTCCAACATAAAGGCAAGCACTGGATGGTGAACTGTAGGACTGCTTTGTCTGTTTGGCATTAGACGTCTGTGAACACAATTAGCCTGACTGATTTGTACTTTTTAAAATGCCATCTATATTCACACAGGGCCCACTGTGGGTGGCATACAGGGGTACGGACCAAGGACCTGTGTGCTGGTCCCTCGGCGGTCTGGTTCGTCATCGGAATTCATTCCTCAGCTCTAGGCCTCAGAGAGTTCATAGGGTTCAATGCCTGGTTTGATCTCTTTCACACAATGAGTCAAAACCCCTTCCAATTTACAAACATCAGGATAGCTAAACTATTTCTAAAGATTATTATGGGAAAGATGAACATCACCAGTGATTTGAACTATTCAGAGAACCTCACGCTTCCTTTAGCCAAGGTTCGGTTGAGCCGGCTGGATATGGAGGGGTGGAAACCAGACAGTCTCGGTCCTCCTGCATCTTTTGATCTAATGGTCGCTTTGATAAAGGCAGCATGTTTTGTTTCTGCAAACATCTTTATCCTTAATACTACGTTCCCTGTTTCCCAATTTTAAATGGTCGTCTCAATGTTTATCTTGTGTATTCTCACCATTTTGAAAGTTAAGCTACATGAGCTTTTTTAAAGTATTTGTTAATTATATCACTGAAGGACTGCTAGGCAAGACTCCCTCTCGGGAGAAATGGAACACATGTATTAGACATCAGGGAGAATTTTGAAGATTAAAGGAAATTTGCAGATATCAGTCAGTTGTGTTGTGGTTGATAGCCTGATTTATAATTCCTCTTTTGCCCAAGTAAAGCAGAATGTTTATGCGTTTTATTCTTATTTATTTCTTATAGTTTAGGATTAATTCCATTTTAAATACAGTGCACCGAAATTTTACGTCTCCTAAAAATTTAAAATACTAGTTCTACTAGTAAAGTACTGATTCTACTTCACCATTTATTCAGAAAACAATTAGAAGTCTCTACACAACAAGCACAGATCCTTAACCCTACAAACCTTAGAATAAGACATCCTCAAATAATAATGTTTAGCCCTTATTTAGTGTTTTTAAATTTAAACTGCTGTCTGTTGGGCCGGGGATTTAGCTCAGTGGTTTCGCCGCCTGCTGCGCAAGCTCAAGGACCCAATTTCGATCCCCAGTACCAAACCAAACCAAACAAAACAAGAACTCCTGCTGTCTGTTGCCCTGCCTTCCTAAGCACTCTTATCTCACTGGCAGTGCACCTTTACTTGGTGCAGTGTGCTTTCACTGTAGCTTCCCACGCAGGCGCAGAAGTGGCTGATTTTGTGTGGACCCTGAGGGCACCCCCCCCCCCCCCCCCCCGGCTCCGCCTCGCCTCCCCTCGCCTGGCACCTGCTTTCTCCATTTAGCCTCTCTAGCTCTGCACTGCAAGGACGAAGAAACCGAAGTGGGGAATGAACTGATCATAGGTATCTTGATTCAGTTTCTTTTTTTCTTTGTACAAGACGCTAAGCAAGTTATTTGGTTTTTTCCCAGGACTTAGTTTTCTCACCTACAAATGAAAGTATTGAACTAGATGATCTTTATTCAAAATATGAATATGAAATAAATTACTTACATGTTAGAAATAGATTATTTACACATTTATTAGCTATTATCGATTAAAATTCATCAATTAAAAATGCAAAATGAACACGAGGAAATTCTTCATCTTTTAAATTAATATACTTAAAGATTATTTGCTATATAAAATTTTAGTATTTTAAAAATACTGTACCATAGGTTGCAGCATATTCTCAAAGAAATTGAACACTACTCTGAAACAAAACTATAGTATTTTAAAATGTATTCATTTATTGTAATGCAAGAGATCAAACCCAAGGTTTTGTGAATGCTAGGCAAGGGTTCTACGACTCAGATAAGTCCCTAGCCCAATGGGAATTTTTTATTGTAATTGTCTTACGTGAATTTTGCAGAAACCTTACAAAGTAAGTATTAATTCACCCTTCTTGCAGATAGGAAGCAGCCATGGCTAAGAAAGATACAGTTATCTTTCCAGAGCAACGTGGCAGATGTTTTAGTCCCAAGTCTGTGCTCGATCCATTTCCTGAAGACAGCTTGTCATCTGTGGAAGCGTACAGGTGCACGTCTGTAATCGTGGGGTTGCAAGAGCACAGCGAGGGACATCTCTGTCAGGTTGTGAACCAGAGGCACTGAAATTCTGTCCCAGAGTTTTAAATACCTTTGCATAAGCAGGGATGAATTCAGGGCCTTTTATTTGAACCTGAGAAGGTCTGATCTTTGTTCAAGAGATACATGGGAGGAGCTAATTGGCGGGGTCTCCGCAGCAGGCTTGTGTGGAAAGTCACAGTGTGTAACTCGTACATCACGTCAGATTGATGTGTTTGGTTAGAAAGTGTAGTAAACTTTTCATTCTAAAAGGAAACAGGTTTCTTCTGAGTTAATGAGATGGCATTATAAAGTAATCATTGTAATTTGGCAGCATTTGATAAAAAGGTGTTATTTTTCAGCTGAGAGAGATTAGTCAATTGGTAAATAAACTTACAAAATATACAGGTAGTCTGTGTCTAAAAAATATTAAAATGTTTGTAGTAAAGCCATTCATATCAGTAAAAGTGCTGAATAGTGAAATATACAAACAGTTTTGTATTTAAAAGCTAGTAGAAAATATTAAACCAAACTTTAAAAAATATTGTTGAGGTATATTTATGTCATCTGAAACATGAAGAAGTGAATTCCATTCTTCTATGTTTGTTTTTGGTAATAATTATGTCTGAAATTATGGGAATTAAATGAAAGCAAATGAAAGATGTAATGTATCTGCCCACATCTGTCCAGTTACCTCATTCTGATATAGTCTTAGCTCCTTTCTGCTTCCATGGTAAAAACAAAAACAACAACACAATAGGTTTTCCTTCCAAACTACAGTAAAGTTCAGGTAAAATGAAAGTGACCTTTCAGAATGTCTGGGCTTTGAAACACAACTTAATGGGTGGATAGCAACAAGATTAGTGAAAATCTAGCACATGATTTGTGTTCTGTAAATAAATTAGAAAGCTATAATGCAGATAATTTCTCAATAGATTTTCAAGTACTGTCATTTGGTAATTTGATTATAAAGCAAAATTCCATCCTTATGTGGTGATCAACCATATAAAAATATCAACAACAGTGAGTGAGCTAAAATGCATTTGTAATATTACACTTTGAGTATTCTAGTGAGTTTTTAGAAGTTCCAAAAAATACCACTTCTGATGTCTTAACAATAATTTGTAATCCAAAATATATGTAATTGTATAAATTTCTAAATTAACTCTAAAAAATGATGTTTAGGTGTTAATTAGAAATTACTTGCTTTGTGGGATACTATTATTCTATGATATTAAAAACTATATTGTGCACAGAAGCTAAATAATTTACCTAAGTTCAGACAAGTAGGCAGTGATTTTTATAAGTATCCAGTAGACTAACAAATGACATACTCTAGTGTACATGAAAAGAGAATAAGATATCCTCCTTTCCATCGGTGAGGTCTTTCAAACCAGCAGACGTTACTCTCAACACCTAATAACTGTGTACTTAATAACTGTTTAATAACTTTTACCGTGTTGTTCCGTCATCATACAAAAGTAAACTGTCAGCTCCACATCGACTCTCACTGCATTTTAATAAACTCTTGAGCTCTGTGCTGTTCATTGAATTTACTATGCGAGGATGATATTGCCTGCCTGTATGAAACTTTACTAGAGTCGATTAAATAGCTCCTTCAGGATGGTCTAAGGACAGTGAATAGCAATAACTTT